AACTAGTTGTATGAGCGAATCACAATTTACGGGCCGCATCGTTTGCAGGGAGTGTCACTTTCGATATTCAAGGTGTTTCCTCTTGCGTCGTGTGGGGACACGGATGAGTTTGAGACATGTGCTACATCGCTTAATGGCCGAAAGACATTGAGGAAAGTGTTGGCCGACGGTACGTGAACTCAGCACAGGTTGCTTCAAGAGATTGATCGCTTTACAAAGGGTCTGCGGACGATGCTGGGGAACCTGGATACTTCTCCACCAATCTGGTACGTCAAAGCCCCCGTTCAAGCGGAAAACACCCTCCTTTTTCGTGTCTCATTTGACCATATGTCCGATACCGCACCTATGTCATCTAGTCGACCGACATACGAGTCGAATTGACTGCCACTCGGCGAACAGCGCTTCATAGGTGAGTGTACTCCATCGAGACATCGGACTATCTCCAACCAGATCCGTCGTGTAGGTACACGTTCCCTAACAGCGCCGTGCACCCCAGGCTCGTCATCGATATCACAGATGACGGGCAGCAAAGCATGACAGAGCCAGAATTAAGCATAGACCCAACTAGTGGCAGAGTCACAGGTCTGCGTTGATCGATCGATCGCTGATTGTCGCTCCCTTGTATTCACATCTTCGCTGTTTAGGTGGATCATCGTTCGAAGCGTCCTTCGGCCCAGGGCGATATCGAGCGTATACATGTGTAGACTTTCAGGGAGAAGGATTTACGCTGGTACAAGCCGTTCAAGACTGTTGTATAGGGAGCGGAATTCATGCTGAATTGACGTCTGTGTTAGGGCCAACCAACAGAACATGGTACCTGGCTCCAGGATGCGCCCATATTGCAGAGCGTTAATCTTCACCAGCAATACGTTAGTAAGTGATTACTGCCATAAGGACATGATGATCTGTGGTCCCAACGCTTCATCCGCGACTACAGGCTTCCTCAATCAGTTAGGTGCCTTGCTTACCTTTACTCCGAATTCTAATGGTGAGCAAACGCGCGCGACCAATTCAGGAGGACAACGGTTCACAATTGACATAGGCACCACGACCATTCTCGTGCGTGTGGGGATGTCATTTATCTCGGCTGAGCAAGCCTGCTCCAATGCCGAAGAAGAGATACCTGACTTCGACTTCGCCACCGTTCAGTCCAATGCGCGGAACGAGTGGAACGAACTCCTTGGACGAATCCAGGTCGATCCGCAGGGTGTCGACGCGGAAACTGTTTCGCTCTTCTACAGTTCCCTCTACAGAACACATATATCTCCCGCAGATTGTGCGTCCGTTCGTATGGTAATGGCTATGCTATGTCTCGCAGCTGACGCTTTTATTGACAGATACGGGAGAGAACCCCAAGTGGAACTCTACAGAGCCTTACTATGATTCGTTCTATTGCAATGTATGCATTTCTGCACACTCTACCAGCTGAGGGCTGATCTGACGCCAGTGGGACACATTCCGTACACTGTACCCTCTCATGTCGCTTCATGATGGCGCCAACTTCGCGAGAATTGTGCGAGGCATGATCAACATTCAACAACATGAAGGTGCCCAGTCTTATTCCCGGTTTCGGACAATTGTCTGACTAGCTATGCTTTAGGATGGCTGCCAGAATGCCGAGGCGCTACTGCAAAGCAGTATATTCAGGGCGGAAGCAGTGGGTGTAGTTAGCATGACTGTCGACGAAGCATGTTACTGATAACCCGGCCATAGATGGCGACCCGATATTGGGAGAATTCTTTGTCAAGTACGCACTCCTCGTTTTCACAGCTAAGTTGGCAAGACATGGATATCCGAGCATCACAGGTTCTCTGAACAAGCTGCTTCCTTGAACGTCTCCGCAGAAGATCTATATGCAGCGTTACTGGCTGATGCAGAAGACCAATCGCCGAATTGGGATCTCGAAGGGCGTCAGGCTAACATTTGGAAATCGCTCGGTCAGCGGAGTGTTGTAGTTCTTCCAACGTCAATCTCATATCGTACACAGGATGGATTCCGTCGGATGTCTGGGAGTCAAGTGGTACCAATACTAAGCAAGTCTCGAGGACGCTAGAAGTGAGGAAATCCCTAGTTCGCCGAACTCAAAGTTGACCGATTGCTTCAGTATGCTTTCGGAGATTTCGCCATTTCGCAGGTTGCGAAGCTCATGGGACAAACGAGCGACGGTCTAAAGGTAAATTCTCAAGTGGCTGCATCTGTCCACAGAGGTTCACGCACTTGTGCCAAAGTACGCGAAGCGCGCAGGCAATTTCATAAACGTTTGGAACCCAAATACCACTGTTCCAGGACGGCCAGATATCGTAGGAATGATGCAGGTTTGTGTGAGTCGATTGTATAGCGAATCTTCAGTAACGATACCTCTAGCCACGGTTCGCAAATGGCACGTTCAACTTCACAGACCCAAGGCACTGCAGCGTAAATGATCCGCTTCAGTCGACGTGTTTCCTGGATGCTCGGAACAAAGATGGCTTTTACGAGAGCTCTCCGATAGTGGTACGCCTAGATCCGTCCCTGAACCATGTTATCTTACGCTCAAAATCACTTGTAGTATTCTCAGGTGAGGTGAACGCGAGGGACAAGGAGACTAGTTGCACTAACCAAGGCACTATAGTTTGTACCTCAAGACACGGCCAAACTGATAGAGCTTCAAGGTGGATCAGAGAAATTCATCTCGCGATTGGACTTCATTTTCGATGAGGTACGTCTTCACGCGTCGCGAGTACCTCTTTATATGGCTCAAAGCTTAATGCGACAGCACTACTTTGACGAGACGGATGAGCCATCACAGCAAATTCCCTTCATGTACCATTACGCCAATGCACCAGGACGCAGCATTCAGACGTCGAGGCAGGTCATTTCGCAATTCTTCAATACTTCTGTGAACGGACTCCCTGGCAACGACGGTATGTGCCGCGTCGTTATGCCGAGTTATTTCGATCCTGAGATGAGCCTTGGCACAGATTCAGGCGCTATGGGTAGTTATGTTGCGTTCTACCTTGCTGGACTGTATCCAGTGCCCGCGACGCAGCAGTACCTCCTAGGTTCTCCGTGGTTCCCCCAGATCTCGTTCCACAACCCGACACTCGGAACGACCACAACGATCATAGCGAATGGCTTCCGTGGAAACCCCGTAAACGGAACCGGTGGAAATGTCTTTGTCAAGGTGTGTTACCAGTGGATTTGTTAGGTGGACGTCCTCAACTAAAGAGTACACGTCTCAGAGCGTGAAGATCGATGGTGAAACGTCGAAGTCAAACTGCTTCTTGGAGTGGGACGTCTTCAAAAAGGGATCAACGATTGAGTTGGAGCTAACGGATGATATTAACGTTACGTGCGGAGAGGGCGAGGGCGCGCTTCCACCCTCGCTGTCGACAGGAGGCTTCGATTAATACAAGATTCCGCTGAATTGCCAAGAGATAAATGCTCATAGCGAAAACCCATCTACTGGTACAGCAGGTAGCTTTCACTCCGAAGCAGTGGCTGGTCACGCGATGTCTCGTTGGTATGTGTATGGACAGTCCGAATATCATCAAAGTGGTGAGCGCGCCAAAGGACCCGCAGACATGTCAGCTGAGCCCGGACATGTCCGATCTTCGTCCGGGCCGGCCTGTCTCCGGGATCAGCTCCATGTCTATGTGGGGTGATATCACCTCTAGACCTTAGTGACATTGGAAATCAAGTGCTCGAGCTTCGCATCTAGTGCCTCTGCCGCAAGACGAAGCTCTGTATCTACCTGCCCGTGCATACCAGGTGCAATAACCGAGGAGGGGAGGTCATACACAACACGCGTGCCAGTTATTCCCGAGTCATTCTCGAGCACGAGAATACGGAGCGGAACGTGCAGGGCGGTGGAAAACGAGTGGCGTAACATAGTGTATGCGATGAGCGGATTGCCGATAGTATAGAGGATGAGTTTGGGGATTGGAGAAGGGTGAACAGGTTCAGAGTTGGGGGGACTCTTGGTGTAGGTTCTCATCCAAGGGTGATGCTGGATCGCAGTGAAGAACCTGGGCAGGTACCAGGATGAGTACGCTACTTGCCGAATTTGTGGTGCATGAATAATCAAGTACGTACATAAAGTCGTTACCCTGGGTGATCTCATGTATACCCTGTTCAATTTCTTCTCGTGTTTGTGAGCGGCGTAAGAGATCGAAGAGGGCAGGTCCGCCCGCACTGCGATGCAGCTCGTTATCAAGGCGTGCGACAACCGTGTCGATGTGGAGCGAACTCTCGAATACGACACGCGTTGTGGTGAACTCGAAGGTTTTCTTTGACATGGTGATGGTTGGAGAAGCGCTCTGAACAATGTCGTACTTGCAATGCGCGATATGTGCAGTGTGTGAAGAGGCCTAAGTGCTAAGCTTCCTGAGTCCTGTCATTGCGCAGCAGACGATGGTCTACGTTGGCTCAGTATGGGAGCGTGTGAGTTAAATGTCTCGGAGATCAGCGATAATCTGTCTCAACCGTCGGAGTTATCGGAGCTTTGCGGCCCTTGCCCAGAAGAGCTGGAAGGTCTTCAAGATGTCCGAGAGCGGAAGGCAGGATGAGCAGCGGAGCAGATTTTCATGCTCAAAGACGGAGTGGGACACGCGAGGCGGAGAAACGCGACATCAGAGGATGGAAGATGACAGAAGATGATGTCGCCGCTGACACCGCGGCAGGTCTCTGTCATAGACTAGGCCTCTGTGAATGGTGGCGTGCAGTAGAATGAAGTCTCGTATGTCTTTTCAATGCTATGACTTGAGTAGCGGGATGGAGGTACCTGCGGGAAGATGATCAGAATGCTAGGACGTCAGGCACGGCGTCGTGGCTAGTGATCGGCGTGTCAATTCATGCAATGCTCCGTACAGGCATCGAGGACTCTGATTAAGTTAAATCTATCACTCAATCAAAGAGCAGAAACGCGGCTTCAGAAGAGCAAAAGGTAACTTGATGTTGAATCGACACTTTTTCAAGGAGGCAGGAACGCAGGCAGAAGCACGAGAGGGGTAGGAAAAAAGTGACAAGAGTGGGATTTGAACCCACGCCAGGATACCCTGATGAGAAGACCTGAACCTGCAGTTGCAGGCAAGCTTGCGCTTGAGTCACACGCCTTGGACCGCTCGGCCATCTTGCCATGTCACTGTGCGCATGACGTTCCACCTCGGTGTGTGGAAAGGATGTTCGACGCTAGGCGTTTCCCATGTCCGATCCGAGACGTCGCTCAGTTTCTCGGTCCTCGAGAATGAGGGAACGTCGAACTGACAGCGGCACTTGGGCGGCTGCCCGTACCTCGGAGGTCGGATGTGATTGTCGTCGGCCAGGAACTGCAACAACATGTAAATGTCAAGATGGAGGTCAAGGCCCGCGTTCTCGACCAAAGAGGGCAACCTGATAATCGGATTGCCCGGAAACGTGCGTCATAGCCCGCCTTATAGCAACTCGTCTTCGCTGGCACTCGTCTCGCGCTCCTTACCCTCCACCATCCACCATGTCCTACCAGATCAAAGAGATTCAGACGAAGCCTTATGATGGCCAGAAGCCTGGTACGTCAGGTCTTAGGAAACGGTGAGCTTTGATTCCGTCACGTCGGGGCACCGAGGTGGAGCGTTCAGCGATATTGACGATGGCGGCACTTCAGGGTGAAGGTCTTCCAGCAGGAGGTACGTGCTGTACCATGTTCTTCATGAATACTGTTGATCACGTTCTTTGATCTTGTGTTGTACAGCACTACACGGAGAACTTCGTCCAAGCCATCTTTGACTCTATCGAGCCCAAGGGCGCGACCCTCGTCATCGGTGGTGACGGCCGCTTCTTCTCTCCAGAGGCCGTACAGACCATCCTCAAGATCGGCTCTGCCAACGGCGTCGCAAAGTTCATCATCGGCCAGAACGGCATCCTCTCCACCCCCGCCGCCTCCAACGTCATCCGCAAGTACAAGGCGTACGGCGGTATCCTCCTCACCGCGTCCCACAACCCCGGTGGTCCCAACAACGACTTTGGCATCAAGTACAACGTGTCGAATGGCGGCCCAGCACCCGAGAACGTCACCAACAAGATCTACGAGCGCACCAAGACCATCTCCACGTACAAGGTCATCGAGCTCCCGCCGGTCGACCTCTCGCAGATCGGCTCCTTCACCTACGGCCCGTCCCAGGTCGACATCATCGACTCGGTCGCGGACTACGTCGTGCTGCTCAAGTCCATCTTCGACTTCCCGCTCATCCAGTCCTTCCTCCAGAAGAACGCGGGCTCGTTCAAGGTCCTCTTCGACGGCATGCACGGCGTCACGGGCCCGTACGGCCGCGCGATCTTCGTGACCGAGCTCGGCCTGCCTGAATCGTCGGTCCAGAACGCAGTGCCGCTGCCCGACTTCGGCGGCGGACACCCGGACCCGAACCTCACGTACGCACACGAGCTCGTTGAGCGTGTCGAGGCAGACGGCATCCACTTTGGTGCAGCAAGCGACGGTGATGGCGATCGCAACATGATCTACGGCAAGGGCGCCTTCGTCACGCCCAGCGACTCCGTTGCAATCATCGCCGACTGGGCCGCGGAGGCGATCCCGTACTTCCGTGAGGGTGGCGTTAAGGGTCTTGCGCGCAGTATGCCCACGAGCGCGCAGATCGACTATGTTGCGAAGAAGAAGGGTATCGAGTGCCATGTTGTCCCTACCGGTGAGTCGATCATGTCGATCCCACATAAATATGACGTGGTGCTGATGCATCTGCAGGCTGGAAGTTCTTTGGCAACTTGATGGATGCAGGACGGCTTTCTGTCTGCGGTGAGGAGTCGTTTGGTACGGGATCGGACCACATCCGGGAGAAGGACGGTGTCTGGGCGGTCGTCGGTGCGCGTCCTTCTTATCTCATTGGCCTAGGTGGTGTGCTTACACGCATACGCGACAGCATGGCTGAACATCCTCGCATACGCGAATACGCAGTCGCCTGGTGAGCTCATCGGCATCGGGGAGCTCCTGCAGAAGCACTACGCCGTGTACGGCCGATCGTTCTTCTCGCGGTACGACTACGAGGAGGTCTCGTCCGAAGGCGCACAGAAGCTCGTCGACACGCTCAACGCGCACATCGCGTCTGGCGACCTCGCCGGCACGACGCATGCGTCGCCAAGCACCGGCCAGTCCTTCGTCGTGCGCGATGCGTACAACTTCGACTACACGGACCCCATCGACGGCAGCGTGTCGAAGAACCAGGGCCAGGTCGTCCGCTTCCAGGACGGCAGCCGCGTTGTGTTCCGCCTGAGCGGGACGGGTAGCCAGGGTGCGACGGTGCGGATGTACGTCGAGCGATACGTCCCGCCGGAGAAGGGCGTGGCGGAGCTTAACAAGACAACGGCGGAGGGCTTGACCGGCCTGATCGAGGTTGCGTTGGAGCTCAGCAAGCTGAAGGAGTTCTTGGGCCGCGAGAAGCCGACCGTCATCACGTAGGCGGTGTCCTGGGATTCGGAAGAGAGGAATAGAAAAGAAGTCAAGTGAAGTAATTGGGACGTTTATACGAGTAACCTTGCCAGAGTGATGTGCTCCGCTGACGCATTGACGGTAGTAATGTAAATCCAAATGTTCATGAATCTATCATTAGTTCAGGATAGACCACAAAACATTGTGTTCACCCGCGAACTCCGCGATCTGTGGTTGTACAGAGGCATCTCTCGTTTCTGACATTCACGCACCTCTCACTGCGCGCTCAATGATTGGTAGCTGAGCGCCGGGCGACAGCCGAGAATGGAGGTAAACAGCGGGATACTGACTTCCACGTACATAGCTGACAACCGGGGCTGAACTTGTGCAAGACAACCTTGAACATGTCAAGAACGGGTCTTATATGTGCGCAATCTCGTAGAACCCCATCGGCGCGCAATAAGAGCTGTCTATTCCAGGGAAGAGGTCGACCATAAGGAGGAAGATTACAGTGCCATCAATCCCATCACAGATGAGGCTAGAGTGTCCCGTCGGCGAGCGGTGGCTACTTCCGGGTGACAACGGTGGCTCCTAGGCGAATATTTCTCACCGCCTGTGCTCAAGTGCTATCATTGGACTGTCCAGATCAGCGCTCAGCCTCCTGTTAAATTGCATACCACAGTGCTGAGCTGTTCTTCAGGTCAAACTGTTCGCGACTGCAAGGCCAACAATGACCGGGATCGAGCGGGAGCGCAACTGTTCCCGCGTTCTATAGCTTAGTACGCACGCAGCGACCATGTTCACTCGGAATTCCTCAACGCTATTTCCCCGATGCGCAGCCGTTCGAATTCGCTCACGGTATGTAGACCGGGGGTAGCTGCTGCTTACGTCGACTTCGATGGCGCGTGCAGCCTTCAGCGCCCTCAGTGATGGCTTGATGCCTTGAAGATCTCTGTCGGCCGATTTTGACAGATGAGTGCGGTAAATGACCTATCACGCTGTGCGCTAATTCCCATGTCTGCCACTGGGGTGTCATTCAAGGCTAGAGTTTGTATACAAGGTATCCCTGGTGATACCAGACGTCCAGCTCTCCTTCTCGTTCCCTCGTCTCCCGACCAGCGTTCACACTCTTTGACTCTCGCTCGCTCGTTTAACTTCTGTTAAGACGCTGGTCGATTATTTATCACCATCTCTAAAAGTCCTCTATGGCCAATAGAGACATCTACGGACACACACTCTTGAACACTCGATCCTCGTAAGTGGGATGGATTCCTTTCGCAAGTCAGTCAAATCACCTTGAACTCACATCTCTCTGTAGGCCGGCCGAAAACGTACAGTCCTCGCAACCACTCAATACTCATATCAGCGCTGGAGCTGCAGTCGGGATCGTCATCGGCGCGCTCGCCGCACTCTCACTCATTACGCTCCTCGTCATTTACACCTACCGACGGCGCGCGCGCCTGCAGATCCTGCGACACGTCGACGCCGTGACCATCGTTAAACCGAGCCATAAGGCTGCGATGCATCTCGACCTCAACGCCGCGCACCCGGTCGACGAGGAGAAAAGCCTCGGGCTCCCGGGAGACTGGGGAACCCCCACACCCCGCTGGGGCGGCACCCGCGGGTTCCTTGTGGCGCCCTCCCCATACGTGCCCTCGGACAGCGTGTCGGAGATGTCCTATCCCTATTCGTACAACCCACCCTCGGTCGACACCCCACTCTCGCGCCCGTCCAGCGCATTTTTACGCGGCAGCACGCCGGACCTCACAGGTGGACGTGACCCGTTTGCGCGCAGCCCACCGATGGGCTCGGACGTCTCTGCGACACCCCTCAAGAGGGAGGTGCAGCATCTGCGGGAGGAGATCCGAAGATTGAAGGCGACCATCGAAGGAACGACAACCAAGTCGAGCCCGTCGTTTACTGTGGCCAATGCCAGCGCGTCGGATGTCTTATAGGCCTCATATACGCGGCGATTGGCCACCACAGTTTTGTCGTCATTCTGAGTTTGTCTGGTATGTAAATGCTAGACTTATGTTGTCTTACTAGCTATTCCCTATGAATCTCTATACTTGTGCATGTGGTCGGGCCCTGGCATTCGTTATCGTCTAATCCAACTACTTCTCCGTCATTTGATTCATCCCTGCTAGCTTGCGCAAGAGCCCAAGACGTTACTCCGCTGCCCATGTGTGGCCTACTCTAGCGTCTAGCTAGCGCAGGTACACATCTCCTAATGCTTCGACCTATATCCAGGCACGCTCTTTTCCGCGGTTCCGATGAATTATCAAGAACAACGGATGGCTTAGCGCTTCCCAGTTGACGCTCCATAATCTTCCCGCATGTCACCGTTTTTCAGGGAGGACTGTAAGATAAGAAACGTCTCGGAGTCGCATCCCGCTGCTTGATGCGTAATCCGAGCTTGCTGTCCAGAAGCTGCATTGCCCTGAGTGTCGCTGCATTCTGCGGGCGCTTCCTGCCGACGAGAGGGAGTCAAACGGTACGGGCTATTTCTCCCGCATCCAAAGTCTTCTATCCCGGTGATTAGGCTACTGCATGTAATTCTTAGACAAGATCTTACTTGTGCAGGCGACCAGCGACCAGTCATCGTCGTGTTCCGTAGAGCCTGGAACTCCCGAAGATGTCGGAGCCATAGTGAGTATTTACACTGTACTTTCTCTGTGTGTCTGGCGGTGACACAACCAGCTCCGTATTCTTGGAAGAACCAG